GATATGACTGCTGCGCGCAGCAAGCTGGGGCTGTGCGTCTATCGTTGTTGGGGTTGTTATAATAAGACGGGGGATGCATTTTGTGACCCCCAGCATAGGGAAGCTGGGGTGCACGAATGGAGAAAACTGGCCACGTGTTCGCACGTTGGGCCGCCATTTTGCGCGCACGCGGGGTATGGCGACGATGCGCTTTGCGCAAAGGGCCGCCATTTTGAGTGCGCGCGAGTTATTGCGAGAACGCGCTTGGCGAAGGGGACCGCCATTTTGAGCGCGCGGGAAAAACCTCGGTGGGGCAAATATTCCATCTGTTATGCCTGCCATTGTTGATTGGGTGATGCATGAGTTGTGGTCACATCGGCCTATGGCTGATGGCTGACCTGACAGCCCGGAGGCGAAACCTCCGTGGTATGTCTTAAACTAATGGGCCATGTGCTCATATGGCTCGGGGAGTCATGGTTCAGTTGTGCGGTGGCAGACTGAACCTGGTGTGCCGGGGGCTCACGGGATCTGGGTTAGGGTGTTATTGTCTCTATAAGAGAACATTGCCCCGTGGGGGGAGTCCATGGGGTCTGGCATTGCCGGGGGATGAACCTTCCCTGGGCTATAAAGCGTCAGACTATACGAGGCTGGTGTGTGTCCATCGCTGATGGGATAGTAAGGGAGGAGCATGGCCGAGTGCTGCTCATCCCCGAAATGGCACTAGCTGAGAGTATGGTAAATGGATGTTGCTGTGGGTTGACGACCACGGTGAGGGTTACGGCGAGTTAAACGTTACCGCTGGGGAGCGTGGCTCTCTCCACGCGAGGGTGTGTGATTAGGTGTTTTGTTGGGTTGCTGAGAGTGACCGTGGGTACATGCTGTGTACGTGCGATGTCTGTGCTGGTCCTCAAGGGAGGACTGCTGGTGGGCAAGAGCAGGAAATTTTGTTGTTGTTGTTGTTACGTGTAAATAATATTGTTGTTAAAATGTAAATACTGGGGCATCCATTGCGTTTATTTTGGGTATTTATGGGGAGTTTTTTTAAGCGGGCCGGATTTACATCATCTCCACTACCCTGGGGCCGGGTGGCTGTCGTGTACGACATGCGGATGTGCGTTGTTGTGCTGTGCCTCAGGGGATTGGATTCTCCTTCTCGTCACAGATTCTTCAGCTCCCGTCGCACTGGGTGTTACCTGGTGTGCTAGCTGGATGAGGACTTGAAGGAGCAATTGAGTGCCGTTCGTCATTCTGCTCTACCACTTGCTCTTTGACGTTGGACTTGAGCCGAGCGGATGGAACTGCAACATGGACACGCACTAAAACATCACATTCTGGGTTGTGCGCGTTGGCCGTTCTTGCGTGTCAGTTGCCGTTGTTGTTCATTGTGCCATTCTTATTCTTGTTGTTGTTGCGCGGAGGACAGGCCGGTGTTCTGTTCCAGTTCCTGATACCTCCCCTTTCGTTGCTTGTGTTGTTGTTGTTATAATCTCCGTTGTGTCTGGGGGACTCCTGATTGTGATGCCTTCGCCCGCATTATTTTGTTCTGTTTCAGCCGAGGACGGCTGGAATTTTCTCTACGGGGGAGGGTAGTGTAATGCGGGCGTAAATGGGCGGGGCGGATATGACGATCCAAGAGGGAGGAGTCAGGGTGACGTGGGGGAGAAGTTATAGCGGGGAGACAGGAAGCTATCTGGGTCAGTCGGGGGAGTGAAGGGTGGTGAACACGTTGGGTGGTCGCCGTGCCTCAGCCTGGTGGCTGAGGGGCTCATGACGGCGCCAGCCAGCGGGGTGGAAGAGAGTGGAGGATTGAGGTTGGAGATGGCGAGATAGCCACAGAGGCCACGAAGGGCTGAGGTAGGAAGTGGCGGGATAGCCACAGAGGCCACGAAGGGCTGAGGTAGGAAGTGGCGAGATAGCCACAGAGGCCACGAAGGGCTGAGGTAGGAAATGGCGAGATAGCCATAGAGGCCACGAAGGGCTGACGTTGGGAGGTGGCGAGATCGCCACGCACGGAGGAACAGGGAGCAGCGATGGAGCTGCTGTGGGGGCAGCCGGAGGGCTGCACCAAGAGCCTGCAGCGGAGCTGCAGGAGCGTGGAAGGCTACGGGAGCGAAGGCAGATGTGGGGCTGCCAGGGAGAGAGTCTCAGGAGGAGTGCCGTGTGGGAAGGAGAACGCGAACCCCAAATAAAGGACACGGAGTCAGCGAGAAGCGTCTGAGTCCTTTTATTACAAGTGTATGGTGAGTAGTGAGTGAGTGGTGAGTGTATGGTGAGTAGTGAGTAGCGAGTGGTGAGTAGTGACACTCACCCATGATGCCCGTGCAGTGAGTGAGTAGTGAGTGCGTGGTGAGTGTATGGTGAGTAGCGAGTGAGTGGTGAGTGTATGGTGAGTGTATGGTGAGTAGCGAGTGAGTGGTGAGTGCGTGGTGAGTGTATGGTGAGTAGTGAGTGGTGAGTAGTGACACTCACCCATGATGCCCGTGCAGTGAGTGAGTAGTGAGTGCGTGGTGAGTGTATGGTGAGTAGTGAGTGAGTGGTGAGTGTATGGTGAGTAGTGAGTAGCGAGTGGTGAGTAGTGACACTCACCCATGATGCCCGTGCAGTGAGTGAGTAGTGAGTGCGTGGTGAGTGTATGGTGAGTAGCGAGTGAGTGTATGGTGAGTAGTGAGTGAGTGGTGAGTGTATGGTGAGTAGTGAGTGAGTGGTGAGTGTATGGTGAGTAGTGAGTAGCGAGTGGTGAGTAGTGACACTCACCCATGATGCCCGTGCAGTGAGTGAGTAGTGAGTGAGTGGTGAGTGTATGGTGAGTAGTGAGTGGTGAGTAGTGACACTCACCCATGATGCCCGTGCAGTGAGTGAGTAGTGAGTGCGTGGTGAGTGTATGGTGAGTAGCGAGTGAGTGGTGAGTGTATGGTGAGTGTATGGTGAGTAGCGAGTGAGTGGTGAGTGCGTGGTGAGTGTATGGTGAGTAGTGAGTGGTGAGTAGTGACACTCACCCATGATGCCCGTGCAGTGAGTGAGTAGTGAGTGCGTGGTGAGTGTATGGTGAGTAGTGAGTGAGTGGTGAGTGTATAGTGAGTAGCGAGTGGTGAGTAGTGACACTCACCCATGATGCCCGTGCAGTGAGTGAGTAGTGAGTGCGTGGTGAGTGTATGGTGAGTAGCGAGTGAGTAGCGAGTGAGTGGTGAGTGTATGGTGAGTAGTGAGTGGTGAGTAGTGACACTCACCCATGATGCCCGTGCAGTGAGTGAGTAGTGAGTGCGTGGTGAGTATGGTGAGTAGTGAGTGAGTGGTGAGTGTATGGTGAGTAGTGAGTAGCGAGTGGTGAGTAGTGACACTCACCCATGATGCCCGTGCAGTGAGTGAGTAGTGAGTGCGTGGTGAGTGTATGGTGAGTAGCGAGTGAGTGGTGAGTGCGTGGTGAGTGTATGGTGAGTAGTGAGTGGTGAGTAGTGACACTCACCCATGATGCCCGTGCAGTGAGTGCGTGGTGAGTGTATGGTGAGTAGTGAGTGAGTGGTGAGTGTATGGTGAGTAGTGAGTAGCGAGTGGTGAGAAGTGACACTCACCCATGATGCCCGTGCAGTGAGTGAGTAGTGAGTGCGTGGTGAGTGTATGGTGAGTAGCGAGTGAGTGGTGAGTGCGTGGTGAGTGTATGGTGAGTAGTGAGTGGTGAGTAGTGACACTCACCCATGATGCCCGTGCAGTGAGTGAGTAGTGAGTGCGTGGTGAGTGTATGGTGAGTAGTGAGTGAGTGGTGAGTGTATGGTGAGTAGTGAGTGAGTGGTGAGTGTATGGTGAGTAGTGAGTAGCGAGTGGTGAGTAGTGACACTCACCCATGATGCCCGTGCAGTGAGTGAGTAGTGAGTGAGTGGTGAGTGTATGGTGAGTAGTGAGTGGTGAGTAGTGACACTCACCCATGATGCCCGTGCAGTGAGTGAGTAGTGAGTGCGTGGTGAGTGTATGGTGAACAGCGAGTGAGTGGTGAGTGTATGGTGAGTGTATGGTGAGTAGCGAGTGAGTGGTGAGTGCGTGGTGAGTGTATGGTGAGTAGTGAGTGGTGAGTAGTGACACTCACCCATGATGCCCGTGCAGTGAGTGAGTAGTGAGTGCGTGGTGAGTGTATGGTGAGTAGTGAGTGAGTGGTGAGTGTATGGTGAGTAGTGAGTAGCGAGTGGTGAGTAGTGACACTCACCCATGATGCCCGTGCAGTGAGTGAGTAGTGAGTGCGTGGTGAGTGTATGGTGAGTAGCGAGTGAGTGGTGAGTGTATGGTGAGTAGCGAGTGAGTGGTGAGTGCGTGGTGAGTGTATGGTGAGTAGTGAGTGGTGAGTAGTGACACTCACCCATGATGCCCGTGCAGTGAGTGAGTAGTGAGTGCGTTGTGAGTGTATGGTGAGTAGTGAGTGAGTGGTGAGTGTATGGTGAGTAGTGAGTAGCGAGTGGTGAGTAGTGACACTCACCCATGATGCCCGTGCAGTGAGTGAGTAGTGAGTGCGTGGTGAGTGTATGGTGAGTAGCGAGTGAGTGGTGAGTGTATGGTGAGTAGTGAGTGAGTGGTGAGTGTATGGTGAGTAGTGAGTGAGTGGTGAGTGTATGGTGAGTAGTGAGTAGCGAGTGGTGAGTAGTGACACTCACCCATGATGCCCATGCAGTGAGTGAGTAGCGAGTGAGTGGTGAGTGTATGGTGAGTAGCGAGTGAGTGGTGAGTGTATGGTGAGTAGTGAGTGAGTGGTGAGTGTATGGTGAGTAGTGAGTAGCGAGTGGTGAGTAGTGACACTCACCCATGATGCCCATGCAGTGAGTGAGTAGCCAGTGAGTGGTGAGTGTATGGTGAGTAGCGAGTGAGTGGTGAGTGTATGGTGAGTAGTGAGTGAGTGGTGAGTGTATGGTGAGTAGTGAGTAGCGAGTGGTGAGTAGTGACACTCACCCATGATGCCCATGCAGTGAGTGAGTAGCGAGTGAGTGGTGAGTGCGTGGTGAGTGTATGGTGAGTTGCGAGTGGTGCGTAGTGACACTCACCCATGATGCCCGTGCTCACCACTCGCTCACCGGACCAGGGCCCAGGACCCGCCCCGTTCACCGCACGCACCTACACGCGGCGGGACGGTGAGCGCGGTGAGGGTGAGGAGCGACTGTGAGAGCCAATTGAGTGAGTGAATGAGCGAGCGAACGAGCGAGTGAGCGAGTAACAGGCCATGTGAGCGAGTGAGCGAGTAAGTGAGTGAGTGGCAGGCCATGTGAGCGAGTGAGTGAGTGTGCTAGTCGGTGAGAGAGTCAGTGAGCGAGTGAGTAAATTAGCGAGTGATTGAATGAGTGAACGAGCGAACGAGTAAGCGAGCTAGGGAGAGATCGAGTGAGTGACTGAGCGAGAGAGCGAATGAGACAATCCGCGAGCGAGTGAGTAAGCGAGCGAGTGAGAGAGCGAGCGAGTAAGCGAACTAGTGAGAGAGCGAGCAAGTGAGCGAGCTAATGAGAGAGCGAGCGAGTGAAAGAGCGAGCGAGTGAGTGAATGAGCTCGCGAGCTAGTGAGAGAGCGAGCGAGTGAGAGAGCGGATGAGTCAACGAGCGAGCGAGTGAGAGAGCGAGCGAGTGAGAGAGCGATAGAGCGAGCAAGTGAGAGAGCGAGCGAGTGAGAGAGCGAATAAGTCAACGAGCGAGCGAGTGAGAGAGCGAGTGAAAGAGCGAGCGAGTGAGTGAATGAGCTCGCGAGCTAGTGAGAGAGCGAGCGAGTGAGAGAGCGAATGAGTCAACGAGCGAGCGAGTGAGAGAGCGAGCGAGTGAGAGAGCGATAGAGCGAGCAAGTGAGAGAGCGAGCGAGTGAGAGAGCGAATAAGTCAACGAGCGAGCGAGTGAGAGAGCGAGTGAAAGAGCGAGCGAGTGAGTGAATGAGCTCGCGAGCTAGTGAGAGAGCGAGCGAGTGAGAGAGCGGATGAGTCAACGAGCGAGCGAGTGAGAGAGCGAGCGAGAGAGCGATAGAGCGAGCGAGTGAGAGAGCGAGCGAGTGAGAGAGCGAGCGAATGAGAGAGCGAATGAGTCAACGAGCGAGCGAGTGAGAGAGCGAGCGAGAGAGCGATAGAACGAGCGAGTGAGAGAGCGAGCGAGTGAGAGAGCGAGCGAGTGAGAGAGCGAATGAGTCAACGAGCGAGCGAGTGAGAGAGCGAGCGAGAGAGCGATAGAGCGAGCGAGTGAGAGAGCGAGCGAGTGAGAGAGCGAGCGAATGAGAGAGCGAATAAGTCAACGAGCGAGCGATTGAGAAGGCGATCTAGTAAAAGAGCGAGCGAGGGAGTAAACAAGCTCGCTCGCTAGTGAGATAGATAGATCGTTTATTGTCATTGTCACCAGTACAACGAAATTTAAAATGCTCACCAGTCAGGGCCTCATTCATAAATTTAAATTAAATAAAACAAGAAAATAAAAATAAAATTAAATGAAAGATAATCAATTTATACTATACATAAAAACAGCCCAAGTATACCCACATACCCACATAAGGTTACATTTTGTCATTGCACATCTCTATTTCACAGTCAATTGTAAACGCTATTACTTAATAATTAATTAGCATTATTGAGTGTGGTGATCGCTGTAGGATAAAAGCTCTGTTTGAATCTGTTTGTCCTTGTTTTGACTGATCTGAATCGTCTGCCTGATGGCAACAGCTCAAACAGTGAGTGTCCAGGGTGAGAAGAGTCCTTTATAATGTTCTGTGCTTTTTTGATGCAACGTGAACTGTGTAGTTCTTCCAGTGTGGGGAGATGGCAGCCGGCGATCTTTTGGGCTGTGTTGAGCGAGCGATCCAACGAGTAAGCGAGTGACTGAGCGAGTGACTGTGCGTGCTCGCTCACTCACCGCGAGACTGTAGTTTCGCCCGCCCTTGAGGCCGAACACCTCCGCCTGCAGCCGGTCGCTCTGCGCCAGCGTCGTCACGTTCTGCACCACGGCGGCGGACGACGACGACGATGAGGAGGAGCCCCCCCCCGCCGACTCCACCGCCGCGGGGCCCCCCACCTCCCGCACCGACACCTGGTACGCCAGCGCCGTGCCGTTGGGCCGCGCCGGCGCCGAGAACGCCAGCCGCAGGCGCGTCACCGAGTCGGCCAGCAGCTCGGGCGCCAGCAGCGTGGGGGCATCCACGGGGGCTGCCGGGAGAGGGGGGGGGGGTGGCAGGGGTCGGAGGTTAAGGGCTTGACTCCTACACACGAGGGTCACCGCCTTTCGTCCACTGCGGTTTGAATAAGAAGCAACTGAATTTCGATTTAAAGCTTTCGTGACTGCAGGGATTCATCTTCTTGGTTCTTTCGGTAAAGTCATCACGTAGAAGGGAAATGATGAAATAATAAAAATAAAACAATAAAATCATTTCGATTTACAGCTTTCGTGACTGCAGGGATTCATATTTTTGGTTCTTTCGGTAAAGTCACGTAGAAGAGAAATAATAAAATAATAAATGTCTTTTCTGCACTATGCGTTACATATCTGCATTTCCCATAAATATGCTAAATTCCTCTTGATATGCAAATTCTTTTGTCAAGGCGCTCTTCCCCCTCCAACCCAGCAGCTTAAATATACGCTGCCAAGCCTGGTGGTGTTTCATTCAGACGCTGTCTTTCCAACAGACCTGTTCTTGACCTGAGGACGGATACTTGCGTTGTGGCCGAAACGTAGTGTATAGTAGTGTAGTGTATAGTAGTGTAGTGTATAGTGGTGTCGTGTATAGTGTAGTGTATAGTAGTGTAGTGTATAGTAGTGTATTGTATAGTAGTGTAGTGTATAGTAGTGTAGTGTATAGTAGTGTAGTGTATAGTAGTGCCGTGTTTAGTGTAGTGTATAGTAGTGTAGTGTATAGTAGTGTATTGTATAGTGGTGTCGTGTATAGTGTAGTGTATAGTAGTGTAGTGTATAGTAGTGTAGTGTATAGTAGTGTAGTGTATAGTGGTGTCGTGTATAGTGTAGTGTATAGTAGTGTAGTGTATAGTAGTGTATTGTATAGTAGTGTAGTGTATAGTAGTGTAGTGTATAGTAGTGCCGTGTTTAGTGTAGTGTATAGTAGTGTAGTGTATAGTAGTGTATTGTATAGTAGTGTATAGTGGTGTAGTGTATAGTGTAGTGTATAGTAGTGTAGTGTATAATGTAGTGTATAATGTAGTTCAGTGTTTCTTAACTTTGCTCCCCATTGGTTCTCAATCGTAAACAAAAACAATGTTCGATGTTAATAACCACATCGGGGGTTTGATGAAACGAAGTGAGTTGCCTACATAAGTTGCCGTGGCCTCATTTGTTTCGATGAATTCTCTCGTGAAAAAAAATCTGACCACGTCTCGTACCCCCAGACAGGGCATCTCACACCCTCCAGGGAGATGCACCCCAGCCTAAGAACCTTCAAGGCATTGAACACCAGTAAGAGAATCTTAAAATCAATAAGCCCTGCCCCCCTGCCCCCCACCAGGATCTCTGACACCCCATGAGAGTGGTGAAGACGCAGAGATGCAATGGGAGGCGATGTTGCCGCTCTCCGCACCGCGGTCGAGTTACCGAGTGTCGCCTTCGACGACGCACCAGGGATATTGGCGGCTCGGTGCGTGTGCGCGTGTGAACGTGTGTGTGTGCTTGTGAACGTGTGCGTGTGAACGTGTGTGTGTGTGTGCATGTGTGAACGTGTGAACGTGTGTGTGTGCGTGTGTGAACGTGTGCGTGTGAACGTGTGTGTGTGTGCGTGTGAACGTGTGTGTGTGTGTGAACGTGTGTGTGTGTGTGCACGTGTGTGTGTGCGTGTGAACGTGTGTGTGTGCTTGTGAACGTGTGCGTGTGAACGTGTGTGTGTGCGTGTGTGTGTGTGAACGTGTGTGTGTGAACGTGTGCGCGTGTGAACGTGTGTGTGTGAACGTGTGTGTGCGAACGTGTGTGTGTGCGTGTGTGTGTGCGTGTGTGAACGTGTGTGTGTGCGTGTGTGAACGTGTGTGTGTGAACGTGTGTGTGTGAACGTTTGTGTGTGCGCACGTGTGAACGTGTGTATTAACGTGTGTGTGCACATGTGTGTGTGCGCACGTGTGTGTGTGTAAGTGTGTGTGTGTAGGTACGCGTGTGTGTGTGTAGGTACGCGTTTGTGTGTGTGTGTGTAGGTACGCGCGTGTGTGCGTGCGTGTGTGAACGTGTGTGTGTGCGTGTGAACGTGTGTGTGCACATGTGTGTGTGTAAGTGTGTGTGTGTAAATGTGTGTGTGTAAGTGTGTGTGTGTGTAGGTAAGCATGTGTGTGTAGGTAGGCATGAGTGTAGGTACGCGCGTGTGTGTGCATGCGTAGGTACATGCGAGTGTGTGTACGTAAGTGCGTGTGTGTGTAGGTAAGTGTGTGTGTAGGTAAGTGTGTGTAGGTAAGTGTGTGTGTAGGTAAGTGTGTGTAGGTAAGTGTGTGTGTAGGTAAGTGTGTGTGTAGGTAAGTGTGTGTAGGTAAGTGTGTGTAGGTAGGTAAGTGTGTGTGTAGGTAAGTGTGTGTGTAGGTAAGTGTGTGTGTAGGTAAGTGTGTGTGTAGGTAAGTGTGTGTAGGTAAGTGTGTGTGTAGGTAAGTGTGTGTGTAGGTAAGTGTGTGTAGGTAAGTGTGTGTGTAGGTAAGTGTGTGTGTAGGTAAGTGTGTGTGTAGGTAAGTGTGTGTGTAGGTAAGTGTGTGTAGGTAAGTGTGTGTGTAGGTAAGTGTGTGTAGGTAAGTGTGTGTGTAGGTAAGTGTGTGTGTAGGTAAGTGTGTGTAGGTAAGTGTGTGTGTAGGTAAGTGTGTGTGTGTAGGTAAGTGTGTGTAGGTAAGTGTGTGTGTAGGTAAGTGTGTGTGTAGGTAAGTGTGTGTGTGTAGGTAAGTGTGTGTGTGTAGGTCAGTGTGTGTGTGTAGGTAAGTGCGTGCGTGTAGGTAAGTGCAAGTGAGTGTAGGTAAGTGTGTGTGTGTAGGTAAGTGTGTGTAGGTAAGTGCGTGTGTGTGTAGGTAAGTGTGTGCGTGTAGGTAAGTGTGTGTGTGTGTAGGTAAGTGTGTGTGTGTAGGTAAGTGTGTGTGTGTGTAGGTTAGTGTGTGTGTGTAGGTAAGTGTGTGTAGGTAAGTGTGTGTGTGTAGGTAAGTGTGTGTGTGTAGGTAAGTGTGTGTGTGTGTGTAGGTAAGTGTGTGTAGGTAAGTGTGTGTGTGTAGGTAAGTGTGTGTGTAGGTAAGTGCGAGTGAGTGTAGGTAAGTGTGTGTGTGTAGGTAAGTGTGTGCGTGTAGGTAAGTGTGTGTGTGTAGGTAAGTGTGTGTGTGTAGGTAAGTGCGAGTGAGTGTAGGTAAGTGTGTGTAGGTAAGTGTGTGCGTGTAGGTAAGTGTGTGTGTGTAGGTAAGTGTGTGTAGGTAAGTGTGTGCATGTAGGTAAGTGTGTGTGTGTAGGTAAGTGTGTGTAGGTAAGTGTGTGCGTGTAGGTAAGTGTGTGTGTAGGTAACTGTGTGTGTGTAGGTAAGTGTGTGTAGGTCACGTAGGTAAAAAATGAAATTAAAATAAAATAAAAAAATTCACGACGTTTCGGAGGCAACACAACTACAGGTGGCACTCGGTGGCGTGGGCCGGCTGGGCGCGGGGTGGACGACGACCACCTTTCGCCGTCGCGTGCACAGCGGCGGCACCCACCTGCCTGCGGCGTGAGCACGGAGACGGGAGGCCCGGCGAGGCCCGCGGCCGGCGTGTCGGTGTAGGCCGCGACCCACACGGCGTAGCGCGTGGCCGGCTCCAGGCCGTCGACGCGAGCCCAGCGGCGCGTCTCGTTCCGCACGTCCACCGAGCGGTTGCGCTCGCCGCCCGACACCTGGCGGCGGACGTGAAGACGCGCGGGACGTGAGGACGCGCGGATGGACGCGCAGACACACCGACACATGCACGCACACACACACGCACGCACACACACGGACACAACGGACACGTGGACACACACGGACACGGGCAAACACGAGCACGAAGATACGCAATGACATGGATGCGCGGACACGCAGACACACGCACACGGACGCACGCACACACACGGACGGCCGCGCACAGACACACGGACACGCGGATACAACAGACACACACGGGCAAACACGAGCACGGAGACACGCATGGACATGGATGCGCGGACACGTGGACACACGCGCGGACACACGCACGGGAGCATGGAAACACGGGACGGGCACACGCGGATGAGGGAACACACGCGCGGACAGACAGACGGACGGACGGGCAAGTGTGCGGGCGACACAAACACGGGGGACATTCAAACCCCAGCGATTGATCGAGCGAGCGAGCCGACCGATCAAGCCGAGCGAGCGAGCGAGTGATCCCCTGGCGCGTTGACACCGGTGACCAATCGTCAGGGCGGCGCGCGGCGAGAGTGTTGGGCGCGGCGCCGTAACGCGACGCTCGACACCACGGGCGGTGAGACGGGCGGTGAGACGGAGGGATGGATCTGGCGCCGTCACTCTGACGGGCGCGGCCGTGATGGATGCGCGGAGGTGAAGAAGCAGAGGGTGGTGGAGCGGGGGGGGGGGGCTCTCGTTGAGGTGAAGAAGCCGGCGGTCAATCGGTGCGTCGCTTCTCCCGTGGGGCCCCGGGTCGATGGCCCGTCGAGGCATCGAGTGGCGAGGGACGCCGCCGATGGCGACGCCCGCCACCTCGAGACGGCGCGTCGCGGCTCTCAGGGCGTGACGCGGAACGACGGGCAAACGTCTCCCCGACACCGGATGGTGGTGGGTGATGATGGTGATGGTGGTGGTGGTGATGGTGGTGATGATGGTGGTGATGATGATGGTGATGGCGGTGCCGTGACCCACCTGCACGAAGTAGAAGGTGGTGGTGGGTGATGATGATGGTGATGACGGTGGTGATGATGAAGATGATGGTGATGGTGGTGATGATGGTGATGATGATGATGGTGGTGATGATGATGATGGTGATGATGATGGTGGTGATAGTGGTGATGGTGGTGATGATGATGGTGGTGATGATGATGGTGGTAGTAATGATGGTGGTGATGGTGGTGCCGTGACCCACTTGCACAAAGTAGGTGGTAGTGATGGTGGTGATGATGGTGGTGATGATGGTGGTTATGATGGTGGTGATGATGGTGGTGATGATGGTGATGGTGGTGATGGTGATGATGATGATGATGGTGGTGATGATGATGATGGTGGTGATGGTGATGATGGTGGTGCCGTGACCCACTTGCACAAAGTAGGTGGTGGTGATGATGGTGATGGTGGTGGTCATGATGGTGGTGGTGATGATGGTGATGATGATGATGGTGGTGATGGTGGTGAAGATGATGGTGGTGATGGTGATGGTGGTGAAGATGATGGTGGTGATGGTGATGATGATGGTGATGATGATCGTGGTGGTGATGATGATGGTGATGATGGTGGTCATGATGGTGGTGGTGATGATGGTGATGATGATGATGGTGGTGATGGTGGTGATGGTGGTGAAGATGATGGTGGTGATGGTGATGGTGATGATGATCGTGGTGGTGGTGATGATGATGGTGATGATGAAGATGATGGTGATGATGGTGGTGATGATGGTGATGATGATGATGGTTGTGGTGGTGATGATGGTGATGACAGTGGTGATGGTGGTGATGATGATGGTGATGGTGGTCATGATGGTGGTGATGATGGTGGTAGTGGTGATGATGATGGTGATGACAGTGGTGATGGTGGTGATGATGATGGTGATGGTGGTGATGATGATGATGGTGGTGATGATGATGATGATGGTGGTGGTGATAATGGTGATGATGATGGTGATGATGGTAGCGATTATGATGATGGTGATGGTGGTGATGATGATGGTGGTGATGATGATGATGGTGGTCATGATGGTGGTGATGATGATGATGACGGTGGTGATGATGATGATGGTGATGATGACGATGATGGTGATGGTGATGACGGTGGTGATGATGATGACGGTGATGGTGATGATGACGATGATGGTGATGATGATGATGGTGATGATGGTGATGATGGTGATGATGACGGTGATGATGGTGGTGATGATGATGGTGGTGATGGTGGTGATGATAGTGATGGTGATGATGATGACGGTGGTGATGATGATGATGATGGTGATGATGATGATGGTGATGATGATGATGATACTGATGATGATGGCGTTGATGGTGATGATGGTGGTGATGTTGGTGATGGTGGTGATGATGATGATGATGGTGGTGATGGTGATGATGATGATGGTGATGATGATGATGTTGGTGATGATGATGGTGATGATGATGATGTTGGTGATGATGATGATGATGGTGATGTTGATGATGGCGTTGATGGTGATGATGGTGATGATGGTGGTGATGTTGGTGATGGTGGTGATGATGATGATGATGATAATGATGATGATGGCGTTGATGGTGATGATGGTGATGATGGTGGTGATGTTGGTGATGGTGGTGATGATGATGATGATGGTGATGATGATGATGTTGGTGATGATGATGGTGATGGTGATGATGATGATAATGATGATGATGGCGATGATGGTGATGATGGTGGTGGTGCTGATGATGATGATGGTGCTGATGATGATGATGGTGGCACCGTGACCCACCTGCACCAAGTAGTAGGTTGGCCCCGCCAGCGTGGGGGGCTCCCCCCAGGACACGACGATGGTGTCGGCGGCCACGGCCACCGCCGTCACGTTCACGGGCGCCGTGCCGGGAGCTGCCGGGGTCACAGACGAGAGCCGGGTCGGTCACGCGGAGCCCGAGGCCAGCGCCCACGACGGACGGTACGACCCGAACCCTGACCCTGACCCGAACCATGACCCTGACCCGAACCCTGACCCCGACCCGAACCATGACCTTGACCGGGGTCACAGACGAGAGCCGCGTCGGTCACGCGGAGCCTGAGGCCAGCACCCACGACAGCCGGTACGACCCGAACCCTGACCCTGACTATAACCCTGACTATAACCCTGACGCTGATCTTAACACTGGCCATGAACCTAACCATGACCCTGACCTGAACTCTGACCCTGACCCGAACCATGACCCTGACCGGGGTCACAGACGAGAGCCGCGTCGGTCACACGGAGCCCAGCGCCCACGACGACCGGTACGACCCGAACCCTGACCCTGACTATAACCCTGACGCTGATCTTAACACTGGCCATGAACCTAACCATGACCCTGACCTGAACTCTGACCCTGACCCGAACCATGACCGTGACCAGGGTCACAGACCAGAGCCGGGTCAGTCATGCGGAGCCCGAGGCCAGCGCCCACGACGGACGGTACGACCCGAACCCTGACCCTGACCCGAACCATGACCCTGACCTGAACCCTGACCCCGACCCGAACCATGAACCTGACCGGGGTCACAGACGAGAGCCGGGACGGTCACGCGGAGCCCGAGGCCAGCGCCCACGACGGACGGTATGACCCGAACCCTGACCCTGACTATAACCCTGACGCTGATCTTAACACTGGCCATGAACCTAACCATGACCCTGACCTGAACTCTGACCCTGACCCGAACCATGACCCTGACCGGGGTCACAGACGAGAGCCGCGTCGGTCACACGGAGCCCAGCGCCCACGACGACCGGTACGACCCGAACCCTGACCCTGACTATAACCCTGACGCTGATCTTAACACTGGCTCGGAACCTAACCATGACCCTGACCTGAACCCTGGCCCCGACCCTAACCATTACCCTGACCCTAACCCTGACCTAAACCCTGACCCTGACCCGAACCATGACCCTGACCCAATCACACACGATGGTGCAACCGGCTCGACCCACAAGCCTGACACCGACCCCGACCCTAACCATGACCCTGACCCTAACCCTAACCATGACCCTGACCCTAACCATGACCCTGACCCTAACCATGACCCGGAACATGAACCTTATCCTAACCCCAAACATGACCCTAACACCGACGCTAACCCTAACCTTGACCCTAGCACTGACCCTGGTTACGCTTCTACGCCTAGGCCACGGCATCACGGTGGTGGTTTGGCCAGGCAGGTGCCATGTGGTTACAGCGCCGTTACTTGCGACACGTTCACGGTGTCGCAGCGCGGCAAGCCCGGCGTGCCCCGGTTAGGTCACGGTGCTGCGACGTGCTTCAAGCCTGGCGCGGAACGCGGTCACCCAACCCACGGCGCTCTCACCTCCCACGGCCGTGCGCGCCGCGCTCCACTCGGACGCCGGGCCCAGGCCGGCGCCGGTGGCGGCCGCCACTCGGAAGCGGTACCAGCGGTACGGGCGCAGGCCGTCCATGCGCAGCTCCGTGCGGTCGGCCGGCGCGTCGTCGGCGCCGGCCGCCTCGGCGCAAGCCGCCGCGGGCTCCCAGCCGGCGCAAGCCGCCAGGCGCAGCTCCCACGACACGGAGTAGCGCGTCAGCCGGCCCGGCAGCAGGGCCGGGGCGCGCCAGCTCAGCGCCGCCCACGTGGCGCCCAGCGCCAGCAGCTGCGGGGGCAAGGGGGCGCCGGGGACTAAAACAGGGGTGGGGGGGCAGGGGGGTTCACAATCAACACATTGGTCACGACAGAGCAGAGGTCGCAAACGGGTTTTGATTCCTTACCCGTACCCGTACCCCGCTGCACCAGGGTCGCAAACGGCTACCCGTACCTGGCCGGGTACGGGTAGCCGGGTATCGGGTAGGGTACGGGTATCGGGTAGGGTGCGGGTATCGGGTACCCGATACTCATACAGAGTCCATTGCCCAGTCATCTGATCACCTGGTTCATTGCCCAGTTGCCTGATTAGCCAGATGCCCTAGTTGACTGGTTGCCCAGTTGCCCGGCTGCTCAGTTGCCTGCTTGCTCAGTTGCCCAGTTGCCCAGTTTCCCGGTTGCCCAATTGTATGGTTGCTCGGTTGCCCAATTGCCCAGTTGCCCGGTTGGCCGATTGCCCAGTTGCCTAGTTGCCTGGTTGCCAGGTTGACAGGTTGACAGGTTACCAGGTTGCCAGGTTGCCTGGTTGCCAGGTTGCCAGGTTGCCGGTTGCCAGGTTGCCAGGTTGCCCGGTTTCCTGGTTACCAGGTTGCCAGGTTGCCAGGTTACCAGGTTGCCAGGTTGCCTGGTTGCCAGGTTGCCAGGTTGCCTGCTTGCCAGGTTGCCTGGTTGCCAGGTTGCCTGGTTGCCAGGTTGCCAGGTTGCCTGGTTGCCAGGTTGCCAGGTTGCCTGGTTGCCAGGTTGCCTGGTTGCCAGGTTGCCTGGTTGCCAGGTTGCCAGGTTGCCTGGTTGCCAGGTTGCCAGGTTACCAGGTTGCCAGGTTGCCAGGTTGCCTGGTTACCAGGCTGCCAGGTTTCCTGGTTACCAGGTTACCAGGTTGCCAGGTTGCCCGTTTGCTCAATTGCCCAGTTGCCAGGTGGCCCGTTCGCCCACCTCGCTCGGCCGCCGTGCGCGCCACGCAGCTGCGGTTGCTCCCCAGGCCGGCGGGGTTGTCGGCTGCGACGGTGACGCGGACCTCCGTGTCCGCAGGGAGCCGGTCCCACAGCGCCGAGAGCCCCGCCGGCGGCACCAGCCGCTCCACCGACGCCGCCGCCGCCACCAGCGAGAGGCGGTAGCCGGAGAGAGGCCCGTTGGTCTCGGCCGGCGCCGACCACGACGCGGACACCTCGTGCCAGCTCGACGCGGCGCAGCTCAGGTTGAGCACGGGGCCGGGGGCTACGTGGAGACCCATGGGGGGGGAAGGGGAGGGAGTGACGCACGGGGTGATGCGCATGGGGGTGACGCGGCGAGACGTTGGGGAGACATGGGGGGGGGGTGACACGGCGGGAAGACACAGCGGGGAGACACGACAGGGAGACACGTGGGAGAGACACGTGGGAGAGACACGTGGGAGACACAGCAGAGAGACACGGCGGGGAGAGACACGTGGAGAGACACGTGGGAGACACAGCAGAGAGACACGGCAGGGAGACACGGCAGGGAGACACGGCAGGGAGACATGGCAGGGAGACACGTGGGAGAGACACGTGGGAGAGACACGTGGGAGAGACACGTGGGAGAGACACGTGGGAGAGACACGTGGGAGACACGTGGGAGACACGTGGGAGACACATGGGAGAGACACAGCAGGGTGACACGTGGGAGACACGTGGGAGACACAGCGGGACACAGCGGGAGACACACAGCAGGGAGACATGGCGGGGAGACACGTGGGAGACACAGCGGGGAGACACAGCGGGGAGACACGAGGGAGACACGAGGGAGACACTTGCGAGAGACACGTGGGAGACACAGCGGGGAGACACGTGGGAGACACGTGGGAGACACGTGGGAGACACAGTGTGGAGACACGTGGGAGACACGTGGGAGACACGTGGGAGACACAGTGTGGAGACACAGTGGGAGACACGTGGGAGACACGTGGGAGACACAGTGGGAGACACGTGGGAGACACAGTGTGGAGACACAGTGTGGAGACACAGTGGGAGACACAGCGGGGAGACACGTGGGAGACACAGCGGGGAGACACGGCAGGGAGAGACACGTGGGAAACACAGCGGGGAGACACGAGGGAGACACGGCAGGGAGACACTTGCGAGAGACATGTGGGAGACACAGCGTGGAGACACACGTGGGAGAGACACGAGGGAGACACGTGGGAGAGACACGTGAGAGAGACAGCAGGGAGACACGCGGGAGAGACACGTGGGATAGACACGGCGGTAAGACACAGCGGGGAGACACAGCGGGGAGACACGTGGGAGACACGTGGGAGAGACGAGGGAGAGACACGTGGGAGACACAGCGGGGAGACACAGCAGGGAGACACAGCAGGGAGACACGTGGGAGAGACACGTGGGAGAGACACGTTGGAGAGACAGCAGGGAGAGACACGTGGGAGACACAGCAGGCGACTCACCGGCCATGGCGGTGGTGAAGGCAAGGGGGGTGCTGCTCTGCCCTCCGTTGCCCGCGGCCGTGAAGGCCGCCACGCTCACCGTGTGGTTGGTGAACGGCCGGAGGCCCACGAGCTCCACCCAGGGGTCAGCTCCCGTCGTGTTCTACACAGCGGCATCATCATCATCAGCATCATCATCATCAGCAGCAGCATCATCAGCAGCATCATCATCAGAGCAGCATCATCAGCAGCAGCAGCAGCAGCAGCATCATCAGCATCAGTGGCAGCAGCATCATCATCAGAGCAGCAGCAGCATCATCATCAGAGCAGCATCAGCATCATCATCAGCAGCAGCATCAGCAGCATCAGCAGCATCATCAGCAGCATCATCATCAGCAGCATCATCATCAGCAGCATCATCATCATCAGCAGCATCATCATCAGCAGCAGCATCAGCATCAAAGCAGCATCATCATCAGCAGCATCATCATCAGAGCAGCATCATCAGCAGCAGCATCATCACCAGCAGCAGCATCATCATCAGAGCAGCATCATCATCAGCAGCAGCATCAGCGGCAGCAGCATCATCAGCAGCAGCATCATCAGCAGCAGCATCATCATCATCTGCAGCAGCAGCATCAGCATCATCATCAGCAGCAGCAGCAAAAGCATAATCATCAGCAGCAGCAGCAGCAACAGCATCATCAGCATCATCATCAGCATCATCATCATCAACAGCAGCAGCATCATCATCATCAGTTCCATTGGTTCGTTATTCATTCGTCATAGTCACGTCGTCACAGCCACGTCGTCATAGCCACGTCGTCATATTCACGTCGTCGTAGTCACGTCGTCATAGCCACGTCATCACAGCCACGTCGTCATAGTCACGTCGTCACAGCCACGTCGTCATAGCCACGTCATCACAGCCACGTCGTCATAGTCACGTCGTCACAGCCACGTCGTCATAGCCACGTCGTCATAGTCACGGCGTGTCCGGGATGCACGGCGCGGCCATCGCAATGAACCGTCCCCCACCACCGGGGATTTCCGCCATGGACCGTTCCCCCCTGCGAGCCCCGGGGCCTGGCGCTGTGCGGCGCTCACCAGGACGCGGCTCTGCCGGGCGGCGCCGGTGTCCTCGGTGACGGTGACGCCGTAGAGCAGCACCGCGCCGTTGGGCGCCGGCGAGGGGGCCCAGCGTAGCCAGGCTGACGTCGAGGAGACGTTCCAGAGCGCCAGCGAGTGTGGGGGCAGAGTTAGCGCTAGCGGAGGGGGGAGGGGGGGAGAGGCACTACCGTCGTTACTACCGTCGCGACCGCCGTCACCGCCGCTGCAACCAGCGTCACCACAACCAATGCCAACACAACCAACACAACCACCGCCACCACAACCACCATCATTACCACTGCCACCACAACCACAACCACCGTCGCCACAACCACCGTCACAACAACCACCGTCACAACAACCACCGTCATCACCACTACCACCGTCACCACAACCACCACCAACACAACCACCGCCACCACAACCACCGCCAACACAACCACCGCCACCATAACCACTGGCAACACAACCACCATCATTACCGCCACCACAACCACCGCCACCACAACCACCGTCATCAACACTACCACCAACACAACCACCGTCACTACCGCCACAACCATCATCACCACAACCACCGCCACCACAAACACCGCCACCACAACCACTGCCAACACAACCACCATCATTACCACAACCACTGCCAACACAACCACCATCATTACCACCACCACCACAACCACCGTCATCAACACTACCACCAACACAACCACCGTCACTACCGCCACAACCATCATCACCACAACCACCGCCACCACAAACACCGCCACCACAACCACTGCCAACACAACCACCATCATTACCACAACCACTGCCAACACAACCACCATCATTACCACCACCACAACCACCGTCATCACCACTACCACCGCCACCACAACCACTGCAAATACAACCACCGCCAACACAACCACCGTCATTACCGCCGCAACCACCGTCAAGGCCGCGGCAACCACCATCACCGTCGCCACAATCACCGTCACCACCACAACCACCGTCACAACAACCACCGTCACCACCACTACCAACGCCACCACAACCACCGCCAACACAACCACCATCACCACCACAACCACCATCACCACCACAACCATAGTCACCACAACTAACGTCACCACAACCACCGTCACCACAACCACCATCACCACAACCACCATAATCATCAAAAACAAAGATCCCCCGTGTAGCCTTAACAGACTGTAGAGGCAAGTGCTGTTAGCGAGCAGCACCTATGAAGGCCGGCACGGCACACGAGGGGGTGGGTGACCAACACCACGCCCGGCCGCCTTTGTCTCCCTAGCGGCGATGTTTACACACCGCACCAGGTACTCATTTGAGGCTGAATCGACCTAGCGAAGGCCCATGACTGGTTGTCTGTGAGTGGGAATCGAACCCGGGTCGCCGGGTTCATAGTGCAGCATGCTCACCGCGGCACCACCACTCCCCACATAGACTCACACAGAGACCCATAGACTTACATAATAGAGACCCAAAGACTCACGTAGAGACCCATAGACTTGCAAAGACCCATATATTCACAAAGAAGCCCATAGACTCACACAGGGACCCATACACTCGCATAGACAACCATAGAATGTCATAGACACAACAGAAACACTCGGTTCGTTCCTCTACACTACTCTGAGTGTGTGTGTGTGAGCGTGTGAGTGTGTGAATGAGTGTGTGTAAGTGAGTGAGTGAGTGCGCGAGTGTGACAGGGATGTCCTCTTGCTCCCACATGTTCTTACATCGGAGGAATTTCCATCTGGTACAGATACAATGGGAGGCTGATCGATGCCCAGGTGCGGCCAAGGGATGGCTCCCGATTGCTCAACCATGTTATGTATGCCGATGATCTGGTAATTGCTGCTCACTCTAAGGTGGAGTTAGAGGCGCTGCTGCTGAACCTGGAGCTTGCCACTAAGAGGTGGGGCCTTACCATCAGTCCCACCAAAACTAAACACCTGCCTGGGTATTTTGTACCATCGGACACTCCACCCCCACAACTCCCAATTGGTGATGGGGCAGTTATGGAGAGAGTGGAGAGTGTCCCATACCTGGGCAGTGTGCTCATGACCGGCTCCAGTTTAACAGCAGAGGTCTCACTCCGAATCAGTCGAGCGGCATTATCTTTTCATCGGTTGCGTAATGCTGTGCGGAAGCTACCTGGTCTGCCGCTCCACACGAAGCTTCGGGTCTTCTCGGCCACAGTTATTCCCTCCCTTCTCTACGCTTGCGAAACGTGGACCCCCCTAATGGAACATCTTTGCCGGTTAGAAACATTTAGACTGGCCTGCCTACGATCAATCCTGGGTTTAACCAGGCTGGATTGTGTGAGGAGCTCACAAATCCTTGAAATATCTGGCCAAAGTCCCGTCGGTGAGCTCCTCCGGCAGGCAAGGCTGCGTTGGCTGGGTCATGTAGCCCGCATGCCCAGCTACCGCATGCCTAAACAGCTTTTGTTAGGCCGGATCGAGGGGGCTAAACGGTCACGGCACAGGCTGGAGAAGGGATGGAGTGATGTGGTACAGGAGGACGTGGAGCTGAGTGGACTTGCCGATGACTGGTACCAGCGGTGTCAAGATCGCCCTCTGTGGAGGAGGCTCGTGAAGGACGCTACTGGGCAGTTGGAGGCAGTTGCCCTCCAACCACCGCCACTTAGCGGCGAATGGTTGTTGTTGTTGTTGTGTGTGTGTGTGTGAATGAGTGTGTGTGTGTGAGTGAGTGTGTGCGAGTGTGTGAATGAGTGTGTGAGTGAGTGTGTGAGTGAGTGTGTGAGTGAGTGAGTGTGTGAATTAGTGTGTGAGTAAGTGCGCGAGTGTGTGCGTTAGTGAGTGAGTGAGTGTGTGAATGAGCGAGTGTGTGAGTTACTGAGTGTGTGAGTGAATGAGTGAGTGCGCGAGCGAGCGAGCGACGCTCCAGCGCGCACCTCCCTCTTGCGTGACAGCGCCGAACACCACGGCGGGCCCCGCGCCCCGGCTGGTGCGTGCCGCCAGCGACACGTTGTACGCGGTGGAGGGCGCCAGGCCGGACACGGTGGCGCCGAAGGCGTCGCCGGCCACGGTGAGGTTGCGCCGCGCGCCCGTCGCCAGCGCGGCGGCGGCGTCGGCGGCCACGACCTCGATCTCGTAGGCGACCACGACTCCGTTGGGCAGCGCCGGCGGAGCCCACGACAGCGCCAGCGAGCCGGGGCCGGCGCTCCGTGCCGACGGGGACGCCGGCGGGGAGTCCGGCGCTGCGGAACCCACGGACAATTTGTCGTCACGGCACGCAGGGCCGAGCCGGTGAAGACCCTGGATCCAATTTGGATCGAGCCAAAAGACGTCCTCCCCCCCTCCCCCTATTCCCCCCTCACCGGATATTGCCCTCACCCCTTTCCCGCCACCCCACCCCCTCCTTCTACTCCCCCTCCTCCCCACCTCCCCCCTCCCCTTCCCATCCCTCCCTCCCCCCTTCCTCCCCCCTCCTCCTCCCCCCTCCTCCTCCGTCCCCTCACTCCCCTCCCTCCCCTCCCCCCCTCATCCTCTCCCCCCCTCCTCCTCCTCCCCCCGCACCTCCACCTCCCCCCCCCCTCCTCTACCCCTTCCCCCTCCTCCCCCCCCTCCTCACCGTCCTCGTCAGTGATGATGTCGATCCGCGCCACGCCGCTGCCGTTGGCGGCGTAGCCCTGCCCGGTGCCGACGTGTACCTCCAGCGCGTAGCGCGAGTACTTGCGGAGGCCCGTCAGCAGCAGCCCGCCGGCGGCGTCGCCGGCGCCCACCGACAGCGCCGCGGCGGCGCCGGTGCCGTCGGTGCCGTCGGTGCCGTCGGTGCCGTTGCCGCCGCCGCCGCCGACGAAGGGGCCCAGCAGGGCCACCCGGTAGTGCGGGCGCCCGTTGGGCCGCAGCGGCGGCGACCACGTGACGTTGACCGAGCGCGCGGTGACGTTGGCGTAGCGCAGGTCCCGGACGGCGCCCTCGGGCACTGCCGGTGCGGAGAGAGGGAGGGAGGGACACCACAAACACCGCCGCACACCCTGTCAAATCATATTAGGGGGGGTCCTGGGGGGGGTCCTGGGGGGGGTCCTGGGGGGGGTCCTGGGGGGAGTCCTGGGGGGGTCCCGTATCCCCCGGAATGCCGCTACCCACCCCACCCCACTATCCCCCACCCCACCCCACCACCCCCCGCGACCCACCACCCC